GCGATTCGGTGTCGGAAGCTATCATAAAGGTAAACTACGGTTATATTATTTACCAGTGTTATTTATTAGAAAAATTGATTTTGTGTTGATATTTTTGGGGGTGCGGAACGGATTAACTGGATTTCCATTATTTTCAATGGGGAAATCTGTTTCTAGATACGAGGAATTCGCTATACGAGCTCAATACTGGAACAAATTAAATACGTATCTCGAGGTTCCACTGTACGTTTTCCTTCCAGATATATTGGAACGATGAGATAAATTGTCATCACGATTCTACTTAGTCAAAATAATGTATGTAGCTCCAGCATGACGCAAGAAAATTTGTAAAAATAATTTTCTTTACCTTAGGTTTAGATAACTTTGTTAAGCTGGCCCTAAAAGGAAGTTAAAACTTTCATTTTCAGTAGTGCATAACTGTGTTTGTGAAAAAGTGAGTTCGTTATAACTGTGTTTGCGAAAAAGCTGGGGGAAATAGACTCAATGGAAAAGGGACATAATATAAAAAAAAATCAAGATTTGGTATAAATTTCAATTTAATTGCAAATAAAAATAAAAGTAATCAAATTTCATGTGTCCATTAACAACATGTGACTAGTGGATACTGTATTGGACATTACGGCTACATATTGTATGATGCAAATTTTCAATTAAAATTCATTAAATCTTAAAAGCCAAAATTAAAACAAATTCAATCTGCCGTTCGACATCGATGATCTGCACTATTCTAAACAAGATGGACGAAATTAAGAAACTTGTTGTGGCCAAAGGAATTACCGTTACTTCCAAGCACCGTCCAAAACTCCTAGAAGATGTTGAGAAGTTATTGTTGGTGCGCATTAACGAGAAGCAATTAAAAAGCGATTCGGTGTCGGAAGCTATCATAAAGGTAAACTACGGTTATATTATTTATTAGAAAAATTGTTTTTTATGTTGATATTTTTGGGATTTCCAAAGGCTTTTCTTGACAGGAGGTGACCAGACCCTCTTCTCGGACACCCTAATTAGTCTAAATCCTTTGGTTTTTCAGCCCCTTGCTTCTGTTGCTTCTTTTAGAGATCGCCAAATGACTTCGTTTGACCCGTCTTCTTTCTATGGACTCTTTCGGTCTTCTCCAATTGCTGATAAGGATATTACTTACTTTGAGGTCTCTGTTGAGACGAAAACTTCGATTACTGGCTCTTGCAAAAATTTGCCGAACGCATGTTTTTAGCTTTTCGTCTGCTTTGGAATTTCACGACGAGTTGAAATAGTCTTTCGAGTGTCTGTGTATTTCTCACTGCCAGAAACTCCGGAATCAAAGGAAGCAAACGCGGCAAAATTACCTCAATCAGTTCAATATCCGGCCTATTTCCATACACTAGATGGAAAACTTGAATTTTTTTCAGAATAAAATCAGTCAGTTCTTCCACATTCGTCTGATATTTACAGAAGAGCTCTGACTCTAATTTGCTCGGTCTTTGACTACAGGAAACGCTTTTAGTAGCGCGATTTTAAAATTTTCCCAGTTGTATGTTTCGGAACCTGGATCCTCCAGCAGAAACTTCCTGATGTCCTCGAACCAACTTACGGCTTGGCCTTTTAAGCTAGCCATTGTAATCGTAAACGGCTGAAGCTCGTTCACGGGATGTAGCGTAAAATGAAATTCTAGTTGTTTCAAGAATGTCATCACCGAACCTCTGCCGTTGAACGTCGCAGCTGACTTCTTAGCTGCCCGCATGGTTTCTACTATGTACCCAAATCCTTCCATTGGGTTTACTGATGCCTGACAGATTTGAAAAGTAGGAGGGTCCAATACAAATTTTTCTTTTTCTACCGCTCTTAGGCAGATAGACCTAGTGTGCTTTGCCGTATACTCAATACACCCCCTTTTTCTACCGCCACAGTCCGTTAAAAATTTCGGGCGCCAAATATAGTATTCCTCACTCTTTTTGGCTAAATTAATTGTCGAGGAACCTAGTGAACTGCAGTGGCGGCTCGTGTCTAAAACTAGTGGGGGTGCTGTTCCAAAAAAAATTTAACCTTTGTTTTAAAATTATGTAAAAGGAAAAAAACATGTATAAAAAGAAAATTTATTTTGAAACTTCATGAAATCGTTCAAGAAAAAAATTAAACATTTCTTAATTACTTTAACCAAAATTATTACAGTTCAATCTTTGTCTGAAATCCATTCCTCTTGTTTTAATTTGCGCGAAAAGATCAATAATTTTCTCCTTCATCTCTGGATGACAACTGAGGAAATTTTTCTTTATTGAAAGCAATGCAAGCGCATTTAGTCTTTACAAATTCATAGTGCTTCTTAGAAAAGTTTTCATTCTTTTCAATGTTGAAAAGCAGCGTTCTGCCTCTGATGTAGTCATGGGAATTCTCAAGAGAATTTTTATCAGTTTCGTAATTTCACTAAGAGCATCATCTAGATTATTTTCGAAGATAAATTTCAGTAGCTCAATTAATTTTCAGTATTCATGGATATCAGACCTACAATAGAATACTTTTAGTTCAGTTTCAAGCTTTTCTTTGCCAATCATTGGATATGCTTCAGTGGTCAGTACTATTTCTTCTGTAGAATACTCATTCCTAAAATTAAACATTTCTTGTTAAACAATTTAGCAGCTGCTAAGTTTTTAGTGGAAGAATATCTGTGCATTATATCAATGCATAGTATAAAGTCACATATTTCCTTAGCTTCAGCCATCAGTGTCTTTGAAAAAATTCTTACAGTACTTTGAGTTTCTTAAATCTAAAATAGCAGTTTTGAAAACTTTAAACACATTAATTTCTCTGGATTGCATTTAGTTGTATATTATTTCAACATGAGGTTATTTCAACATTATCAGAGATAAAAATTCTCTCACCAAAACTTGAAATTATCATCATTTAGATATTTTAAAATTTCTGTTGCTTTTGCAATAGTTTTGATCTGCATTTGATGTCGACTGAATTTCAGTAAGGCAATTTTTTAAAAGTTGCAAATTTTCATGAAACTCTGTTTATGGTCCGTATGATGAAATTCCACCTTCTGGAGGAATATCACACGCGCGGAGTAAAAAGAAATCACGTTTTCAGCACCGTGGCAGAATTTCGGCACTGCAAGAGCGACAGTGCTCTTCTCTCTACCCGGCTCGCGTGCTGTTTTCTGTGTGCCCATGCGCAGAGAACAGCCAAAAACACCACGTTGCTGGAACTGTGAAGCGCGCAGTTCCAACCTAACCGAAGCCTTAGCCAAAGCTATCACAAGTATCTAACGCATTTGGTGCTTAATTTAAACTAGCTGTCGAATAACAAAAGACACGTAATATACGATCGAGCGTAACAGCTTCAAGAGAGATTTAGCCCGAAGGCAAACACACGCTACTCAGAATTCCTAGCTCTATTTCACGAAGTAAGTTGAATTTCTTTAAATATTACTTCCAACTCATTTACAATTAAAGCGAATCTAAAAATTCATTCTGGTAGGGAGTTGAAAGTGGAAACAAGAATTGATAGGAAAGAACTTTAAAATTAAAATAACTGTTATGAAATTAAAATATACCTTACAACTTCACAGTCAATAGGTTTATAGTTGATGAATTATGGAGTTTCTTACAAACTCTGAGGAGTCTATAATGATACTTAGTAGTTTGTTTATTAGGTGTTGTAACACGAATCTGTCTGATCGTGCTGTAGCGGCCTATGCTGGGGCGGCGTATATTAAAATCGGCTTTATAGCCTATAACTAGAGCAATCGTTTTGTGCTTAAATTTAATTTAGAATTTCTTTGGAGCAGGGCATAAATAGCCATAAAGGCTTGATGAGCCTTGTTTCTGATTATTGTAACGTGTTGTTTAAACGTTCTCGTCTATATGAACACCGAGATATTTTATACATTTTCCCCTTGAGTTTCCCTCAGTGCCGTTTAGTTCAATATTACCTATTTAATTTTTTTTTCCCTTGAAGTAGATAACTGACAATTTATTAGTATTGATTTGGATCTTCCAAGCTTGACACCAGTTTGAAATTAGATGAATTGCTTTTTGTAGTTTTCCTCTTGCATGCTAAGGACATACTGATTTGCATAACATGGCCATGTTTTCCACGTATCATGCTACTAATGCGTACGAAGCGTAAGGCATATTGTTAATGTACAGATTAAAAAGTATTGGTGAAATGATAGAGGCCTGTGGTACACAAGCTCTGGAGTTCCTGCTAGAAAGAGTATTTTTAATCCTTACGCGGAATGTTCAATTATTTACATAATTAGCAATGAGAACGATAAGCTCAGGTAGAAAATTGAAGCAAATAACTTTGATATGGAGGTCTTGATGCCAAACCTTACCAAACTCTTTTTCAATATCAAGAAAAATAGCAGCTTCCGTTTCTTTTTGTTGAAGCCTTCCCCGATATGTACCACAATTCTAGTAACTTGCTGCACGGTAGAGAAGGCGTGCTTCAAATCCAAATTAGTGGTCTTTTATTACCTTATTATCTTCAATAAATTTATTCATTCTTGTAACGATGATACGATCGAAAATGGTTTGGGAAACTTGTTAATACTGAATTGTTTTTCGTAATAATCTGCAGACAAGTTAGCAGTTTCATCCGGGCTATGGATTAATTTGTTATTCTGCTTAATGGGTTCAATATTATTTTCACCTTTTCTGGGTGCTTTTGCAACTCTTCATACCGAGTGATCCGTCTGAGAAAACCTACTTACGAGGCTGCTCCAAGATTCGTTTCGGTAGTCCCTCATGATGTGCATGCGTTCTCTATTGCTTTGGTTATATCTTTATCTTCTGCTGTCTTGCGGATCTTGTGATTGTTGCGCGATTTTTCTGAGCCTATTTTTGTCTCTGATTTTCATTCTGATGTAGTGTGGGAGAATGAGGTCTTCATGAATTGAAAGATTCATGATTGCGGCGCGGATGTTGTTATTTAAATTGCTAATTATATTATTGATGTCATTGCTATTATTTAGAGAACAAGAAGCAGAAATCTATTGTTTATGATTTGGCTTCTTATAGGTGGTAGACCAAGCTACAACCCACATAATATGAAGCGAACGGGAAGGTCATCTGAGTTAAGGTCGTTATCTACGTAAGTATAAGAAACTTGACGTATATTTATCGCGATCATAATATCCAGTACATTAGCAAACCTAAATGGGCAGGTTGGGATATATGTAGGTTCCGTGGGGACGAAGATGTTGATGTCATTATTTAGCATGTAGTTATTTAACACCACTTCACCATGACTGTTCGTACGTGAATTCCACTTCGTATGTTTGCAGTTGAAATTGCCGTCTATTATTAGGCGGGTTACTAAACTTGTAATGTAATCTATAACTTTAGTGTTATGCGAAGACATGGGCGGCTTACACACTGAAACGTGTAGGTATTCAGTGTCTTTACTTTTAAATTTACATGCACAGGCTTCAAGGCTTTGTAAGACTGGTAGAGCGAATTTATAGCGGTTAAGATAACATTTAGTTGCAATGGCAGTTTTAGCGATCTTTAATTTACGGAAATCGTTTACAAAACCTGGTTTCTACTATATCCAGCGTTTTCGAGTTAGGCTGAGGTCAAGCACTACTTAAATGACAGCATGAATACACCAAGTATCACTGCACAAGATTCTAGAGATTGAGAAAAAAATTGCTAGTTTACCCGTATGCTAACAATCCTTTTGTAAATCCTCCTCCTTAGACATCAGCCCCTACTTATGGATCTCCTGTTTCGCTATGATCATCCCAGGTAATAAAGACCAGATTCAATAAGGCGTAAATCTGGAGGCCAACATGTTGCTTATTACTAAAATTAGTTGTTTGTCCACCTATGTCTGAGTGGTAGTAGTGCCTGCTAAAAAAACTACTTTCTTCAAGAAGCACAAAGATCTTGAAAGTATGCTGTCATTAACCAGCAAGCTACATGTTTCATGCATGTGAGAGGACACGGTAACATAAAAGAAGTCTATTGCCACAGGAAAGAGTTTAGATTTGCAAAGGATTTGATGAATCTTATAAATGGCAATAGAATAAGACTGGGAAGTTTGCTTTCATGTTTTCACCGTATTTTTTGTTTTAGTCTGTGTTGGGTGTGCTGCGTTAAACATGAGGCTGATTATTATCGGTTAGGAGAGTTGCAGTTCAATCGTATATTGCATTACATGTGAGGAGACTAACGTTTCTCCTAAGAACATGCCAACATATTCACAAAAACACTACAGCCTTGAATAGCACTATCCTAGATTTATGGCATCACTTGTTTACAATGACAAGTGACTGATTTCTTAGCAGCCAAACAGAGGATGAAACTGAATTCATTTAACTGCATAACTTGGCATTACTTTAATCTTTGAGTGTTTGGACTCTAACAAATCCTCTGATGCTGAAAATATATTCAAGTATTAAACTTTGCGCCATCTTCATTACTGTTGCTCTTTGTTGTACTGTTGCTTCATCACTTGGCGTAGACTGCATGAGCATTGACTATTGTCATCAATGATACAACAGTGCGAGACCTTTTAAATCCTAATACCTATCGCTTCAAACGGCATCAAGCAACAGCAATACGATCACTCTCAGTGTCACCAGATTTAACCTTTTCGTTGACAGCAATGCACTTTTCCGTAGCTCAGTTTTCTCCTTTTTATAGTTTACATATAAATTAGATAAACGGAAATGCTTCCGCCTTAGTTTGCTAAGGGTTGAAATAAATCTGTTGATGCTTGCAAAAAAGGAAACACTCAGTTTGTTAAAGCTGGAACTAAGCCTTTTAACAGTTGAAATGCTGGATGATTTAAATGAAGAAATATTAAGTTATTAGTTTTCTCTTTTGAGCTTCTAATACGATTATTTCTGACTAATGCCTGCGGGAATGAGTCATATATAAATAACCAATAATTGTCCTATATCAATTTCTATGCGTTTGAACTAAATAAGTAACTATTAAATTCTTTAACTACTTGCGATTTCTCCTAGCAGAAAATATGGAAAGAATATATTTTTATTTAATTAAAGCACAGAGATATGAAAAACGATCCTTGAATAGTAATAAACGCTGAAAACTAAATAAGAAAAAATATGTGACGATGAAATTACCGAGAAAATACAGCATAAATTTTCAGATGCAATATAACTATGACTGACAGTAACTTTGGAATTGCCAAAATCCCCAAACTACAATATTTAATCGACAATAAGACTACATTTTAGGATAAATTTTGAGAAAATGTAGGTGAATATTTGACGAGAGCACGGTTCTAATTAGATTGAAAGGCCAGCCATCTAATTAAATACAAGATTTTACTATGTATTTAAAAAGGAAAATTATTAATATATTGATATCTATTTGTTTTCAGGCAAACAAGCAAGCAGGAATGTGGATGCAGACCTAAACTGAAGTCCCTCAACTAGGCCTGGCTATTGACAATTAGCGGTTATATTTTATATTTGAGTTCAGAAGGAAAAAAAAAATTTTTAAATCCTATCAGAGAAAAAAGATGTAGGCCATATTTACTATGTCGTAATATTAAAAGTGAAAATTTATTGTAGTCAAAAGTTGAAAAGCTAAACATTTTGTATGGAAAGTTAAAATGAATTTATACAGTGGTGTAAGCATCAAATTAAAGAATATATGCATATACAGTAAAATTGTCTACTTCTATCAAGTATTCGAGTAATGCAATTATTCTCTAACGCTTAATAATAAAAATCTCTCCTCTCACTGTGCAATTTCATTTGTTAAAATATTCGATTACAAGGACTTACCAAATATAGTGGGAAAAAAAAAAAAAAAAAAAAAAAAAAAAAAAAAAAAAAAAAAAAAAAAAAAAAAAAAAAAAAAAAAAAAAAAAAAAAAAAAAAAGCGGTTCTAATTTTCGAGCTGCTCCAATAGTGGCCAACTAATATTGGAAATTCAAGTTGGGTTCGAGCCCAGGCGAACGGACTGGTTGCATGGCTGGGTTCTTGTGTGTAGCGTTAATACGAAACAATATCCGCTAGAAAATTTGCCATGAGGGCATCTATCTTCTTAGGCAGATAGCCCTTGTGTACTTTGCTATATTCAAATAACCTAATCTTACTTTAAACTAAATACGACTACTTCTCTCATGCACTTTCCTCCCTCCTTTAGTATAGTTTTATTATTATTCGTGTTAGTTACTTTACATGTGTTTATTTTCTTTATATCAGCTAAAGGTAAATAAATATAAACGTAAAACAACACCCAACTGACTTAAATTCACTTTATGACGCATGAGTCAAGTAACGGAATCGTTTATAGTATAATTCTGATTCAAAATATATTAATATTTAATTAAAATTTCTAAATTTGTTTTGTTGGCTAATTTCATTTTGTAATCTCCTCACACTTTCATCCTGAGTAGGAAAGATGAGCTTTAATTTACTATGTGCTTTTAAATACGATGAAGTCAATAATTAATGTACATACTCATGTATGGCTAAGCTTAGTAGTGTACAATTACTGAGGTAAAACAAAATTAAATACCTTCAATAAGAAGTTCCACAAATGCCTACAGTCGATTAAGACAATTCAGATCAAATAAAATTTAATGAAAAAATTGCTCTGAAATCGCTATGCGTGGAGGAATGGAATTTGCACAATTCGCGTTTCATTAATTCAATAAACTTCATTTTATTGCTCGATAACATTTTTCACAATAAAGGCCGGGAGAAGTGATGAAAAGGGGCAGCTATGCAATAGTTTCTAAATCTATACTTATATAGTTACAAAAAGGAAATATTTCATTCGAAGAAGCAACCATGAACTTTCCTTCCATGCTATAAGTTACCTATTATAACATTCTATGCCTATTCCAGATTCCCAAATTTATCACCGACGGAATACCATGCCTAATATGTTTTATTCATGCAGTTAATCATTTCTTATTCACTTATGCACTCTGTTACAAAAAGATATAAGCATCCAGAAAAAAATTGAACCACAACTACGAAAGGCGGTTTGGCCAGTTAAATAGATAATTAAAAAACTTGCAGCACCAATCAGTATTATGGAACGATATAACGCGTGCCTGAAGTGCGCACCTGATAGAATGTATAAAGACAAGTGAGGAAAGTGACGAGCATTTACAACCGCGCTGATGGCTTGGATACACGACACTGTAACGAAAGATACCTTGAAGACGTACTCAGCGGCGTTACGAACAGTTATCCGACTTCAAGAGGGGTTGCATCATAGGACTTGTGGAAGTTTCATAATGACGCGAACACATTTATAAAAATAAAAACTTTATTAAATACTTGCCGAAGAAGCTTGCTCCTACTTGATCGTATCGGACGTAAAACTCCGTCGACCTAAGGTCTCGTATCCCCTTGGCCAAGAAGCGTACCACTTAAAGGTCGCTCGAGGGCGGTAGAGATGATGCGTAACCTCAGAAATGAAATAACACAATGACACATCGAGGAGAAAACTGAACTGCTGTGTCATTTCGCCACTCTGCTGCAGCTCTAATAATTATTTTTAAGATTGAAAGAACATGTCTTGTTTTTCCACAGCAACATAGTATTTAATCTTATTGGTTGTTTCATTTCCATAGCAACACCACAGAGTACGCTCAGGGAGGGATATCGAACGATGCAAATATATATAACTGAAATTATACAAGTTATATGTAGCAGTTAGTAGACAAATGTTGAGGGAATTTCACATATTGTCCCGATTTTGTGATAGTTTTAGGAACAGCTGACATGGTATTCTTCAAAGTATCCGTCTTACTGGAAGGTTTAGTGTCGTGGGACTAAATTTTTATTATTAATAAAAATGCAGGTTTGAGTCGATCAATTGAGACAGTTTGATTCTTACCGTGCGAGGAGATGATAAAAGTTTTGTCATGTCGCTCAGTGACAGGATGATGACCCTGAGTATGGTTGCTGAAGAGGAGGCTTGGCAAAGTCAGTTCTCAAGTAAGCATGAGAACACAATTTTAATTTAGAAGTCAAACAACAAAAATCAGCGTTATATTTTCAAATTTTCGCAGTAATGAAATTTGGAAATATAACGCTGATTTTTGCTGTTTGACTTCTAAATTAATATTTGTTCGGCGTGTTATTGTATCTTAATTATGCGAACACAATTTGAAGGATGGATGAACGGGGACAGTGTTTTGATGTTGCAATGGGAATCAGAGACTGCACTGTAGATCGTAAACGATTGACATATGTTGGTGTCAGGGATGGCAGAGAAAGTTGATTTGAGCACACGGTATCCGAAGGCAGCTTTAAGGTAGTAGCGTAGACTAACTCACAGCAAGTTGCCTGGATGTTGTCTTTGACGGAAGATCGAATACCCAAAAGTATAAGAGGTAACGATTTTGTCCAGCGAGGGTTTTCTGGCGCTTTTATGCTGTTTTTCAGCTGGTGATGGAACCGTTCAATGTTCCGTTTGCTTGAGGTCTATAGGCAGTGGTACGAATATGATGAATGCCCAGCAGGTGCATGAACTCCCTGAAAAAATGCGATTCAAAGTTTCGACCCTGGTCGGTAATGATAGTGGAAAGGCATCCATTAATTAGACCATTACAAGTTGTTTCAGCCGACAATTATCAGATGTGGGAATTACTTCGGGTCATCGTTTGAATCAATCGACTATGGTCAAGCAATACTGATAACCTTCAGAAATTGGTAATGGTTCAGTAAAACCGATGGGAATAAGCGAAAATCTGGCATCAAGAAGTAAAAATGTCAAAGTGGGGGATTTCGTAAGCCTGTGTATCTTTGATCATTGACATTTCTCACAAGCCTTCACGGAGTTTTTGATAAAAGTATCCAAGTTAGGCTAAACGCAACGTTTGCGTATCAGTTCTGAAGTGGCAGATATACCCGGATGCGAAAGCTTGTGAATACTTTGGAAGATGATAGGTGTGAATGAAAGGACGAGGAACATCGGTTGTGGAGTCACAGTAGAGATAAATATCTTCAAAAGGGAAATACTAATTAGAGAGCTTCAAAAATCTAGAATTTTGAATTGCTGTGAGTTGTGACGAAGCTAACTGTTTGAAATCCAGAGTAGGTGAGCGAAAAACAGAATCTACTTCTATTCGGGAGAGTGTGTCAGCAATAACATTTTCCTTACCTTATTGTATATCAGTGGAAAATTAAGAGATATAATCTAGGTGTCTTAGTTGTCGAGGAGAGCGCTTTTCGTCTGAAAGTGAATGTTAGTGGTTTTTGGTCGGTAAATATGACGAAGTTGCGACCTTCTAACAAGTGCCGAGATTTCCTGATATAGATGCGTATACTGCCAATAGTTCGCTATCATATGTAGACCATTTCCGTTGACTCTTATTCAATTTTAAAGAAAGGAATGCATTTGGCTCCCATTGACCATTTGGGAACTGCCAAAGGCAACGTCAGATGCATCGGTCCAGAGACTGAGTCGAGCACCAGGAATTGGATGTCTTAAGAGATTAGCTTTGCCAAGAGCTTCTAAAAATTCTTTTCGGCTTCTTCAGACCATTGGAGAGGATTTTCAGTCTTTTTAGTTGGACGGAATGATTTCTTTTTGTTAGAATGACCTTCGAGAAACTTAATTAAAGGGGACAAAATGTGTGCAGCATGTGGCACAAATCTGCGATAAAAATTGAATAGGCCAAGAAATCTGTGAAATTTTGCTAAGTCTAGAAAATTTAGAAATTCCATCAACACGATCTGTAATTAGAGAAATATCTTCTTTAGATATTTTAAATCCTAAGAAATCCAAGTTTGGACCTCCAAATATACTCTTTGAGGGTTTGATTTCTAAATTGTAATGATCTAATCTTTTAGGTGTTCAATGTGTTCTTCGCTGCTTTTTAAGGCTATCTAAATATCAATAAATACATATATATCGTTTAAACCTCTCGTCACCTCATCAATAAACCTTTGAAAAGTGCTTGATACATTGTACAACCCAAATTGCATACAAGTGCTTTTAAAAATTCCAAATGGTGTACAGAAGCAGTTTTATGGACATCGGAATTTGATGAAATGCTTTGACTGAATCTACATGGAGAATATGTTGCACCCATGGAGTTTACTAGTGAAATCAATACTAGAAATTGGATACTTGTCCTTTTTAGTCTGAGCATTAAGGGCTCAAAAAATCACCGGAAGGATGCCAATCCTTATCTTTTTCAGTGACCATACACAGTGGCGAAACGCAATTGGTGTTGGATGAGCGAATGTGGTTGAAATCCAAACATATGCTGAAATTCCTTTTTTGCAATTTTCAAACTATCGGGTGCAAGCCAACGTGGTTTGGCAAAAACAGGAGGGCCAAAATTTTTGTGGAGAACTCTTTATTATTATTATTTGTCCACTGGCCCAAAAGAGGGCGCTACCAGCTTTCTCCCTCTTCTCTACTAGGGGAAAGTTCAGACTGGTTACTCTGTTCTTAGATGCCGTCGGTGAAGCATGCGCTCCTCTCTTTCGCTTCGTGACTGTGATACGACTTTTATGATTTTTTACCTACGTGGACTTACTACCTATAAAAATGCTTATCGTGCGAACTGTAGTCAATGTGACTGTGTATTGAAATATATATCTTTTTATAGTGTTAAATAAAAATGTTAAAATCCTCGAGCCAAGCTATCATCATTTTATTTGCAGCAACCCAAAAATGGCATCCATAGACAAAAGCCATAGTTTCAATATGATGCTAAACTCAATGTTTGACAGTTTGGTTTGCACATGGAACTTGAACAATAT